CTGTTTCTGGAAGAATTTTTTTTTTATTTGTACCTTTAACCAAATTTTTCAATTTTAAACCTTAAACAAAGATTTACAGAAAGGTTGGGTTTTCATTCATTCATTGTTGCACATTTCCCCCTCTCTGCCGTACCCTCCTTTCTCCCTCTTCCAGTCCACTTTGCAATGTACCTCTTGTTCCAGATTTTTGTCGTACATATATAACACCTAATCATAGATTCCTTTTGGACCATTCTTCCCCTCATTGGTTCCAATACAGTGTTCATTATCTATCTACTTTCCCCCTTAATCTCCCCCAACTCCCTCAGGTCAGTCCTATATTATAACAACAGTGTTATGCAGTATTTGTTCTTTTGTGACTGGGATATTTCATTCAGCATAATGTCTTTCAGATTTTCCCATGTTGTGTAGTGTGTTACGAGTTCATTGTTTTGCAGTGCTGTGTAATGTTCCATTGTGTGACTGGGCCACAGTTTTAAAATCCATTTATTTGTTGGTGGGCACTTGGGTTGCTGGCAGGATTTTAGGCCAGTTTTGGAGCTACCACTGCATTATTCCTTGATCACAGTTTTACTCAACCTGCCCAGGCCCACCGTCAAGGCTTGTGGCAGGAATGTGAGAGAGAAATTGGTGAGAGTTTCTCCATTTTCTCCTTACAGGTTGTATGAAATGTGAGAATTCTCTTTGTTTTCTAGTTACGCTAAAGGTGCCCATTTGAGTGGTGTCATCGATTCTTCTTGTTTCACTCCATGATTGCCTTTTGGAATCATACACAGGGAGATTTTAATGTAGCCACCACCACTTGGCTACCCAGAATTCCATCTTTTGAGCTTTGTATTGCTTAGAACATCTTTGGCTGCAAATTGACAGAGATACCGGGCTCAGAATTCCTTAGACAGTAGTGAAATGCATTACTTTACCTGTCATGTGGTGTCTGCTGTGAGAGGGCCCCAGGCTTGGCACACCAGGGCTTGCTCTGCAGTGTTTGTAGCTTTGTCTTTGGCAAGACTGTAGCAACATCTTCAGGAGTCCCACAAGATCAAGTGCACTGTGTTTTGTTTTAGACAAGACTTCCCAGAAGCTGAGCCTGATTCAGGGATTTGGATAAACCTGAATTTTAAAATGAAGTTCTCCCAGGAAGTGGAAAGAGCAGGATGTAATACTAGAGAGTAGCTAATCTAAGATGTGCTTTAGAATGTGCTCTAAAAAGATGTGTTCTAAAAAAACTCATTGAGGTCAAGTTGGTTGTGTATGCCATAAAGTCAGAATCGACCCATAGCCTACTCTCCAGTGAGTTTTCAGAAGCAACAAATTGCACTAGAGAGGCAGTAAACTACACAGGAGGAAATTATCCATCAAAGAGAGTGATGTTGTTAACACTTACAGCTTGCTCGGCTCCACAATCACCACTCTTGGCATCAGCAGTCAGGAAATCAAAAGACTAATTGCATTAGGTAATCTGCTGTCCGGGACCTTTCCAGAGTACTGAGAAGCAACAATGTCAGTCTAGAGACTAAGGTGTGCCTGAGCCAGGCCATGGTCTTCGTAATTACTTGCTATTCATCAGAGAGCTGAATAATGATTAAGGATTAACAGAAGAAGAATTGATGCCTTTGAGTTGTGGTGTTGGAGAAGAGTCTTGAACATATCATGGATCGCCCAGAAAACAAATAGGCCTTTCTTGGAGAGAGTGAAATCAAGTTCCTCTTTGGAGGCTAGGATTTTGAAGCTCTGCCTCATATACTTTGGGCATGTGGCCAGGAGGGATGGATCCTTGGATAAGGACATCATGCTCAGAAGGGTGGAGGGACAGCCCAGGAGAGGAAGATCCTGATGAGATAGATTGATACAGTGACTAGGGCAATGGGGATAGGTGTGTTGGCGTGAGCGAGACTGGCTCAGGACAGGGCAGGCTTCAGAGCTATCGTCCATAGGATCGTTATGAGTCGCAGGTGACTTGACAGCACACAACAACAACATTCCACAGAGAAGCTGATGGATTCGAGCTGCGTACCTTTGTGTTGGCAGTGCAATTCCTTACCACTAAGTCACCAGAAAGATTTATATGATCTAAAGAGAATCAAGAGATTGACACTGTGACTTGTGTAGTGGGCTCTAGTGTGTCAGGTGGTGAGGATGGCACAGGATAGGACAGGTTTCAGGTGGGCTGTTCGTAGGGTTACTATGAGTCGTACTCAACAACACCTAACAACAACACGAAGCAGCTAACCTTTTAGAAGTAGAACCCTGTCCTTATCCCGTGAGGAACTCTTGAATGTAGATGGCACATCTCTGAGTTTGTCCCACAAGAGACACAAGGAGTCTTGACTTTTCTGTATCTTCTTCAGTCATTGATTATTACCAGGACCCATCCCCTTCCTAAACTGCTTATTCTTGGAGAGAACTCCGCTATCAGGGAGTGTCCCAGAGGATCTGGGAAGAAGCAGGTGCTAGTAAGAAGGAGAGAGCCCCTCCTGTGTGAAATCTTGGAGCATTTGGTCAGATATGGACAAAAAAGTAACTCCTGGGTGGAGTGATGGGGGCTTGTTGGTCTCCCAGCTGGAGGAGCAGCTTCAGGGAGGATGAAAGAGCAGGCGGTGAAGCCATAAACCAGCTCTGTTGTTTACACGGCAATGGCTGGAGGGTGTGAGGTCAAGGGACGGCTTCTAATCTTGTGTGATGAGAGAGAGAGAGAGAGGCACTAGGAGATACACGGAAGAGAAGGAGAAAGACCGAGGCAGGCAGGGCTAGTGTGAAGGGAGGACTGGACAGGACACACCTCCTACTGTGATGAGGAAACAGGCGCACTCTCACGTGGGCCGGGAGATGTGGGAGTGGAACAATGCAGTCGCTCCTATCTGACGGCTCCTGATTTCTGGGAGAAATTCTCACCCAAAGTGGTGTTACTGCTGTGTGTTGTCAAGTCAGAACCCACCCATAGCTGACCCTCTGGTGGGTTTTCAGAGGCAGTAAATCACACGGGAGGAGACTGCCCATCCTTCTCCCACAGAGAGGCTGGTGGGTTCAAACTGTGTGCCTTTGGGATTGCAGTGTAGCTTCTTGCAACTAGGCTACCAGTGCCAAAACAGGAGGGCCTTTTTATTAAAAAAAATATTTTAGTAATTTTAATGAACATTTACAGAGATTTTGGATTTTCATTCATTCATTCATTCATTCACTGCTGCACTTTTTTTCTTTACCCCCCTCCCCCCAGTTCACTCCTCTCTTTGAAAAGCAAAAGATAAACTTTTTCATTTCCACCCCCAACCCCACCCCCCCAATGCACTCCACTAGGCAACCTTAATTCTGGATTCCTGTGGTAATCATAATATGCTATCATATATCACTTTTAAACTGTTCTCTTCCTCATCTGTTTCAATGCAGTATACATATCTATCCAGTTTTTCTCAGTCTTACCCTAATCCGATGTCAGTCACTTTCTACAACAGTGGCACCATGCAGCGTTTGTCCTTTTGTGACTGAGATATTTTACTCAGCATAATGTCCAGTAAGTAGGAGGGCTTTTTAGGTGGGTTGGAGAGAAGATGAGTCTTTCCCAGGACCTGAAGGCTGTGAGGAGCCATTGAACCGGTGTGTCTGGAAACATTTTGGGAGCATAAATGAGGCCTGATCTTGTGGCGCTCCAATGGCTTATAGTCTGTGGGGAGGTTCACCCTCTGGCTGTTCGAATCCAGCAGCTGCCGTGAGGGAGAAGGATGGGCAATCTCCTCTCATTTACCGCCTCAGGAACCCAATGGAGCGTCCACTATGAGTCAGTTCCAACTCCACAGCAATAAAGTGGTGACCAGTAACAACAGGGAGGCGCTAGCCTTAGACTTGTGTGCGACAGAGTTGGATTCGACTCACAACTGGCCCTCCAGTGAGTTTTCAAAGACAACAAATATCTCTTCACGTGCAATTAGCTGCCTCTGAAGCCGTGGGTTGGTTCCAGCTTTGCCACACACAACAAGAACAAAATAGCGCTAGGGGAGATTGCCCCTCCTAAGCAACCAGGCAGCTCTTATGGCCTAGTGGAGTGAAGCTGTGCTGTAATCACAAAGTCATGAGGTTCAAATCCATCAGCTTCTCTGTGGGAGAAGAATGGGCAATCTCCTCCCATGAGATTTACTGCCTCTGAAAACCCCCCAGAGGGTCAGCTGTTGGTCAGTTCTGACTTGATGGTACACAACAACTCAACAACAAGCAACCATATAAAGTCAAAAGAGCAACAATTTCTCCAAGGATGTAGCCCTGAAGTCAGAAAAGAGTGGGATGGAAGGATTAATGGAAATAATTATTGGGAAGAAATGGAAATAGTACAATTACATTGTAGGTATGGCAATGAACATTATAAAACAAAATGTGTATGACAGATTGAATGAAAATCCAATCTGTTTTGGAAATTTTAGAAATGTTCACTCAAAACTAACTCTCTCTCTCACACACACACACACACACAGAGACAAATGCAAAGGGGGGGGGGGAGAAAAGGAACTTGTCCCTCAAGGATCCAGAGGGCCTGCCTGCAGATGGAGCTGAGTGGGAAGAGGGATTGGTCCTGAGAGGTGGGCAGGAGGAAGAGCTTCCTGGGCCACAGGGAAAGGTTGATCTTTCCCCAAGAACCAGATGACCCAGGGATGAATTTGAAGCCAGAGAAGGATGTAATCTCTCTGGAGTGTTGTAGGAAGGCGATTAGAGTGTGTAGGGCTGAAAGCTCAGGAACCAGGCGGGAAGGTGACCTGCCCTGGAATGATGTTGGAAAGTGGGCAGCAAAGTGGGTGGGACTTGGAGTGATGCAGTATGGGGAAGAGTGGCAGGAATGAGAGGTGGGGGACAAGCCGATGGAGGCGGGTGGTTTACAGGCCAGGCGGGAAATTTTACCATAAATGAAGAGCAAGCTCCCAGTGCATGGGCCCAAGTCCCTGGAAGAGCAGAGCTGGAGCCCTAGCGAGGGGATGATGGGCATTGGTTCACTCTGATTCCCCATCCCTGATGACAAGGGTCCTGGAGCACCTGAGCAGTCTCGCCAGAGAAGTGAGCCTGGACTACAAGCGCAGCATGAACAAGATCAACTTTGACCAGATCGTCTCCTCCAAGCCTGACACCTTTTCCTATGTGACCCTGCCCAAGAAGGAGGAGGAGAAAGTGCCTGAAAAAGGTGAGGGTCAGTGGAGGAGGAAGTAGATTCGGTGATCCCCTTCCCCAGGATGGTCTGACCTGTTGCTGGGGACATCATTAATTTACTGGTACCTGTCATGTTCCAGCATTGTCTCCTCTCAGCGGCCTGGAGAACTCGTAAAAAAAAATATTAGCCTGCATAGCAGAGAAGTAATAAGATAAACGTGTACTAGAAAAGCAGTCATTCAAAAGGGCTTCTGATTATAGGACTTAAGGGGACACTGAGCCTCTTCCCTCGTCAATATCAAGGGTAGCCTTGGCATGGCTGCTATTCCATGTGACACATGGCCCACTGAGCCTCTGAGCAGGGCCCCGGGTCTCCATCTCCCTTCTCCCTGCTAATTTCGTTGCCTGGACCCAGCCTGTGTGTGAGGCATGGGCCCTGGGCATTTGGAGAGACTGTGGTGTCCACATCATCTTTTCTTGGTCCCTTAGTGGGTTTGGGCTGGGGACTCCAGAGGGACTTTTGGGATTATGTGGGAGTGGATGGGAGTGTCTGTAGCTCTTACCTGGCCTTCAGAAGAGTTTCTGATTTGGAGCGGGTCAAGAATTTCTTTACTAATCCCACAAATCCCACAGCAGGCTTCTTATTGCAAGGTCCTTGGGTTTACAAAGAGATGTTGGGGACATGAGTGCATGGATTGTTCTGGCCCCTGGTGAGTCTCAGGTGGGTCTGACGCTAGTCCTCGGCCCCCACCCTGTAGGGCTGGTGTCTATCCCAGAGTACCCCTTCCAAGAGCAGAAAGAGAGCTTCACCTTCGTGTCCCTGCTCACACGGCCAGAGGTCATCACGGCCCTCAGCAAGGTGCGGGCCGAGTGCAACAAAGTGACTGCCATGTCCCTGTTCCACTCCAGCCTCTCCAAGTACTGCCGCCTGGAGGAGTTTGAGCAGATCCAGTCTCAGACCTTCTCCCAGGTGCCTGGTCCGTGGGTCTGCAGTGGTGGGTGTGGGTGGACCCTTGGAGTTGATGGACTCAATCTGGCAAGGGGCCTGGGGCAGCCCAGGGTGGACAACCTCACTGAGAGACTTCAAGTTCCTCCGGGAGCGTGGGGTGGGGTCTGAGGGCAAGGACTCATCCTGAAGAGACGGGGAGACCCAGGGTGGATTCCCTTTGCAGTCATGTTCATCCTGACCCTGGTTGTTTGGGAAACAGGCTCCTTATTTTGTTGAGGGAAGTAACACTACGCAGCCCAAATATACCTAGAGATTACGGTGTGAGGGCGACGTGACAAAGCCTGATGGGATACAGGTGCCCTTTGGCCTAGGAGAAAAGCTCCCTTCTGTCTTGTTCTGTGTCTGTCCTTGTCTCCCTGGCACCCCCTTTCTGTCTTGTTCTTTCTGTGTGCCTCTTGGGTTTTCTCTGCCCTCTCTCTTATCTGTCTCTCATTTCTCTCTGCTTTGTTCTCTGTGGCTCTACCTTTGACAGGTAGAGACCCTTGGTACACCCTCGCCCACCTTCCATTCCCCGTGCCACTTCCACCCTAAGCAGCCCTGAGTCCTGGCCCCCACGAGGCTGTCAGTCCTCAGGGCCTGGCAGTGAGCCACCTGGAGCTCGGTGATTGTGCCATGACGCCCATGGCTTCCCCCAGGTTCAGATGTTCCTCAAGGACACCTGGATCAGCACGCTCAAGGTGGCCATGCGCAGCAGCCTGCGGGACACGAGCAAGGGCTGGTACAACCTGTACGAGACGTGCTGGGAGGTGTACCTCATGTCGAAGCTGCGCAAGCTGATGGAGCTCATCCGGTACACGCTGCAGGACACACTGCGCTTCCTGGTGCAGGACTCGCTGTCCAGCTTCTCACAGTTCATCAGCGACGCCTGCTGCAGCGTGCTCGACTGCCCCCAGGACATGGTCTGGGGCGAAGACTTGATCAACAGCCCCTATCGGTGAGGCCCTGCCAGGCCCGGGTGATGAGGGCGGAAGGGATTAGGACGCCCAGCTCTGCCAGACTCCAGGAAGCAGAGAGAGCCTGGCATCCCAGGCTGCCAGGTGACCACCACCCCATCCTGGCTGATGTTTCTCCTGTGGTCACCGAGGCTCTAGAACAAGAAACAATTATTTTATTTTTATTTTATTATTTTTTGTGTGTGTACCGTCAAATCAGATCTGACTGGTACAGGAGGAGATTGTCCCTCCTTCCCCAGCAGAGCATCTGGTGGATTTGAACCGTGAACCTCTGGGATTGTAGTTGCAGCTCCTTGCCACTAGGCCACCAGAGCTCCCCTAGAAACAATTATTTAAAAAAAAATTTTTTTCTGAGCCTCTGTGGGAAGCTCTAGTCACACAGTGGTAAAGAAGTGCTCTGCCAACCTAAAGGTTATGTAGATCAAATCTACTCTCTGCTCCTCGGGAGAAAGATAAACATTCTCCTCCTTGTGCGATTTACTACTTCTGAAGACGCACTAGAGGATCGGCTGCGAGTGGATTGTGACTTAATGGCACACAACAATGACAAACTGTGTTCATTAGGACACTTACTTGTCCCTCTTATCTGTTCTCTGCCTCTTCCATGCCTGGAAAATATTTCTTGAAGCAGGAAACAAGAGGAGGATGTGTTCATGAACAACTAAACAGACAGTCCCTCCACTCCGGTTTGGGCCGGGGCCTGGTAGACGCTGGGGGGTTAGGATGAGGAGCAGTGGGCTTGTCTGTGCAGGGGTCAGGGAGCATGTGACATCTCAATAAAGCAGTCAGATGATGAGGGAGCACTTGGTATGGAGCCAACCCATGCAGAGACACCGAAGGTTTTCACAGAGGAGAAGAGTTGTGATGAGGCTGGGGTCTGAGGAGGGCAGGAGGGAGGGTTGGGTGAAGTGAAAGAGGCCAGTGGGGAGCAGGCCAGGTCCTGAAGGCCTCCTGAAACCGTGTCCAGGGCCCACATTGATTTATTTGTGTTTCTTTATTCCTTTTAGTTCAATAAAAGGGAAACTTTATTGAGAACCCAAGACCGTAGAGCTTGGGAGGCAGGGAGCTGGCAGAAGGGGATCCCTTATTCTGCATTCTTGGAATGTAACCACATTTTCTGTGGCATTCAACAGCACGGGGATGCAGACAGACCAGCATCTGCAGTAAAGCAGCTCGTCACAGTCGTACTTCTGGTCGACCTGCACCAGGTGCAGGGTGGACTCCTTCTGGATGCATTAAAAAAAATGCAGCCATGTGCCAGCTATTGGCCAACAAAAATTAGCCACTGCTGGCTGGAGTAGGGAGTTACCCGCCTTGACTTGGATGTTGGCTTTGGCATCTTGATGTCAAATGCTAGACTTCAGTATGATGTCTTGTCTGCCAGTGTTCTACAAAGGTCTGTCTCTGTCTAACTCATTGAAGAGGAGATCTGAGTTTAAGTTTGGTCAGAAGTCATTCATGGAGAGTAACTAACATGATTTGCCTTCACTGAAAGTAGTCTGAGTTTAGGGACAAGCAAGGGAGACGGAAACTCAGACTGAGGTTTTTAGTAGGTGACAGGTGAGGGCAGCTTGGTCTTGGTGGGAACAGACAAGGGGCACATTCGGGGCCTGGCTGCAGGAGGGTCTGTGGAGGAGATCCTGGAGGAGAATTCAGGGATGGCTCCCAGAGTTTGCCGCTGAGCTCTGAGCTCTGGGGTGGAACTGGTGGGCATGGAGGATCAGGTGCCATGGCGGACACAGAATGAGATGCCCAGAGATGCCCATCAGGGCTCTGGGAGGGGTGGCTGGCCTGGGCGACATGGAAGAGCCAGGCTGGGATCAGGTTTAAACGGCACAAGAGTGGCTTCTGAAGGAGGTTGAGCCAACAGGGAGAGTGTAAGGGCCTCAGGTTTTCAGGGTCTGGTGGATCTGATCTGCAGATTCAGGCCACAGCTGGAGTCCTTACTCCCGTTAAGGCCTGCCAGCATCTGGGCACATGGCACAGGTGGGGGAGCCAGTGTGGTGGGTCTTAGTTCTTCCTCTTTGGTATTTTGGATGCTTCTGGGGAGAAAAGAGGAGACACGTGTCATAAACCCAAGAGCCATGGCTCTATCAGGAAGAGCAGAAGGCTGGGTCTCCTGCATACAGGCATCCTCAAGCCCCAAGTCCCCCATGATCAGTCTGGCCTTTGTCCCTGCAGGCCCCGGAAGAACCCCCTGTTCATCGTAGACCTGGTGCTGGACAGCTCAGGGGTGCACTACAGTACGCCGCTGGAGCAGTTCGAGACAGCACTGCTCAACCTGTTTGACAAGGGCATCCTGGCCACGCACGCTGTGCCCCAGCTGGAAAAGGTACCGTGGCTGGGCGGGCCGACTGCCTGGGGCTGCGAGGAGCTGCATTACGGGAGTGCTCCGCCAAGTATTATCACCACCTCCCACCACCGACAGTGGGCGCAGTGCTTTAATTCCTGACTCATTAAACTCTCACCATGTCCTGAAGTGAGAACCAGTAACAACCCCGTGGTGCAGGTGAAGCTTGGAAACGTCTTCATTAGCCTAAGACCACTTAGCTGCTAACTATCAGACCCGCACTTTATGTTGGACTTCCTTCACTTCTGTCCTGGCCTGACTCCAGATCCCACCCTCTTAATCCCACCCAACTACAGTTCTCTCAAGACGGACCCACAGGTTGTCCTTTACATGGAGAACTTCTTGTCAAGATTTCCCCTTGTTGTCACCCCAGCTGTGTACACTCTCAGTGGCTTCCAGTCCACTCACTCAGGCCCAAGTGCCTCAACTGACTTAAGCCACCTCTTGTCTTCCTTACTGGTCGATCAGAGCCATCTGTGACCTAGATGCCACTTCTGTGCCATTCCCTGGCACTGGCCTGGGTCAGGCAGAAGCAGAGGAAGAGGTTGCTGCTTCGCATGTCTCACAGTGGGGTCCTGCCCTGTTTACCGCTCCACAGTACTTACTGAGGGACACCACGGCAGACTCCTCTCCCGTCCCCACCTTGGCTCACATCCTGCCTCCCCACTCATCCCTTTGCAAGGCCTCCCCAGGTCTGGCCCCTTTGCCCAATTGCCCCAGGGCTCGTCACTTGCCCTCCCCTCTTCTTCCCTCTTGCAGATGGTGATGGAGGACCTCTTCATCAGCGGCAACCCCCTGCTGGAGTCGGTAGGGCTGCATGAACCGCTGGTGGAGGAGTTGCGCGCCGTCATCGCCAACGCCATTCGCAAGGCCATAATCCCACTGCAGGCCTATGCCAAGGAATACACAAAGTACCTGGAGCTGAACAACTGTGACATCAACACCTTCCTCAAGTGAGAGCGTGTGCGCACACCCACTTGAGTCCAGGGGGTGTCTGTGTGTGGTCTCTCTCCACTCTCCTCACCGTCTTCTGCCCCTTCCTGTACTCTGTGGTTCGCAGGTCCTACCAGACGCAGGCCCCGCTGGCAGGGGAAGTTCGGGAGGTGGTGCTCAGCTACCTCCGGGAGAAAGACATCCTGGACAACTCGCTGCCCAGCAGCATCGTCATTGGACCCTTCTACATCAATGTCGAAAATGTCAAGCAGAACCTGTCCAAGAAGCAAAAGGCCCTGGCCACTTCCATGTTGGACATCTTGGCCAAGAACCTGCACAAGGAGGTGGACGCTGTAAGTGCCTGCTTGCCTGGCCGCCAGGAACTTGAACTCTCACGTCCTTTGGGTGATCCCGAGCCTTTGCTCTCCTGGTCAAGGCTATGAGGTGTCTGCAGACCCCAGGGCAGAAGACGAAACGGCAGCTCTCTCTGCCTTGATCCTTGTCTGTCTGTCTGTCTGTCTGGGGAAGCTATCCTGTGTGGGAGGTCCCAGGAAGGTGCTATCTCCTCCTTTAGCATCACAGAGAGGTGGGAACCCTCACGAGAGACACGATAGTACATCACTGCTGGGGAGGCCAGAGGAGGATTCCGCTCCACTGAGACGTGGTGGCAGGGAGCACCCCCTACCGGAAGCTCCACAGGCTGTGGTGGGGCAGGGAGGCCAAGGACCAAGGAGGCAGAGCAGGTCCCAGAGGAGGCCGGGAAGAGGTGCACTGCCCGCCTCCCCCCGCCCCCAGCACCCACTCCCCGTTGCCAGATCAGTGAGGATTTCCGCAGCATCAGCCGCAAGATCTACGAGAAGCCCAACAGCATCGAGGAGCTGGCCGAGCTGCGCGAGTGGATGAAGAGCATCCCAGAGCAGCTGGTGGGGCTGGAGGTGAGCTGGGCGCACAGGGCCTGGGGCCCCGGGCTGGTATTTAGGGTCTAGGAGATCAGGGGCCAGAGGACTGGGGCGAGGTGGATACACAGGGTGCATCTGAGGTTCCGGGGGCTATGAGGCTGTGCATATTGGAGGCTCAGATCTGTGTGTTTGAAGGCAAAGCCTCAAAGCCTAATACTGGTCTTGATCCACATGCCTCCTCCCCACTACAGTCCTCTCTTCTATAGAGGGGAGCAGTCCCTTTACAGGACCCAGCCATTTAGGGGAGCCCAGCCACAGTCTTCCCCACTCTTATCATTAACTGTCTGTGCAGGAGCGGATTGTGAAGGTCATGGACGACTACCAGGTCATGGATGAATTCTTTTACAACCTCAGCACAGAAGACTTCAATGACAAGTGAGTGGGTGGCCAGACTCTGCACAGGCGAGCAGGTGGACAGCAGGAGGCGGGAGAGGAGATGCTGAGAGGAGGGCTGTCACGGTAGAAACCCAAAGAGCCTGCGGCCAGAGCACCACACATGACAGAGCAGTAGGGTCTTCTGGATTTGCGACTCTGTGATGGACCATCCCCACCCACCCCATTTCTGTCCCATCATCTGCCTGACACATGTTTGCCCCAGGTCTAAGATCCTGTTTTGGGGACCAATGAGGCACTCTCAGCCTGGTAGGTAATCCCTGGGCCAACATGGGTCCTTGTTCTCAACTAGATTAAGAACCTTGTGGGAAACAGCTCCAAGGAACCTCCTCCAGCCAAGACTTAACTGAGGCTGCAGCCAAGCCTTCTGTCACCCAGATTGCTCTCCATCCAGCACCTGCCTTACAGATGCTGGTGCCACCAGGAGACCCAGAACCTGGGAGAGGCCTGCACTGTCCTGGGGACCCTGGCATTGGCTTGACAAGGCATCCTGGAACTTAGGGGGTGAGCCATGGACAGCGCAGGCCTTCCTCTGGTTCAACTGCCCATGTCAGCTGCAGGCTTCTGGATTCCATAGAGCCTGTATCCACCAGGCAAAAAGACTGGTCTGCTGGACAAAGCTATGCTGGTGAATGCAGGCTGAGGGTCACTGCTATGGAGGTTCCTGGGGATCCTGGGCTTTAAGGAAGCACTGAGCACCACTGCGTTCATCTCTGGAGGTGCAGGCCACCTCCCAGCTCACATCTGCTCCCACCGCGCAGCCTAGCTGCTCCAACTACTGCCTGGGCTCCTGGACACCCTCTACTTCCAGGTGCCCCTGCCCGTCCTTTGCACCCCATCATTTCAGTGACGATGTCTTCCCTAATCTCCACCCCGGTCCTGCTCAGGTGGGCAGCCAGCTACTGGCCGTCTAAGATCCTCGGGCAGATCGAGTTGGTGCGGCAGCAGCACAGTGAGGACGAGGAGAAGTTCCGCAAAATCCAACTCATGGATCAGAACAACTTCCAGGAGAAGCTGGAAGGGCTACAGGTGAGGTGTGGCTGAGGACGCTGTGCTGGGGCCACCGCCAACACTCAGCAATTCTCCAAGGTCTGGTGTTGCGCGCCTTGCCTGTCCAGCAGGAATAAGGACACAACACACCAGCGGTTCCTTCTCACAGCGGTTTACTCAGGAGTTTTGTTACAGAGGGTGGTGGAAGATGGAGTCCCTCTGAAGATGGAGTCTCTCTCTCTTTCACCCTTCCTGGGTGCGGCTTTTATCCCCTTCTCAGTACTCCGCCCATCACCGCCCATCAGTCTCATGTGTCATGCCTGCATTGGACCATTAACCCCACGTGAGATCAAGCCATCAACCAATGAGAACACAGTGCCCAAATAAGGTCTTATTTGTGATTCTGGCAAACAAAGAGAAGCAGGAAATCAGCGCCATCTTGTAATGGCGACCATGCGGCCGTTCATGGCCCCCCACAGTCTGGCCCCACTTTCAGCATGCCACCCGAGGAACCGTGTAAACACAAACTGAGTACATGGGTAGAAAGGTGGGCATCGGTGCCAGGAAAGCAAAGTCAGCACAGCAAAGAACCCCAGCACTGCTGATGTGGCCTTGGTGCTCCAACGGGCAGCAGACACAGGGTTCAAGTTCCTGTGTTTCCCCCTGACCTTGTCACTTCATCACGGGGACGGTCAGCTTGGCTGTGGGTGGACCAGGAACTTGCTCACTCCGGGAGACCATTGTCCTTTTAGAACTTGTTATTGTTGCTAGGTGTTGTCGAGTCGTCTGTGACTCACAGTGAATGTATTTATGAACAATAGATAGGAACAGTGTCCTGTCCTGTGCCATCCTCTCTATCCCTGACACACGCGAGCCCGCTGCCACCGTCCCTGTGTCAGCCTGTCTGGCTGAGGGACTTCCTCTCTTTTGCTACCTTTCCATGCAATGCCCTGGAGACCCTGCGTCCCCAGGTATGACTAGTGGGTCATGTGGGCATGAGTGGGGCCACAGTGGCATCTGACCTCTTCCGCTCTTGGCCCATAGCTGGTGGTGGCTGGCTTCTCCACACATGGGGAGATTTCACGAGCCCACGAGATCGCCAACGAGGTGCGCCGTGTGAAGAAGCAGCTGAAGGACAGCCAGCACCTGGCAGCTCTGTACAATAACCGCGAGCGCATCTTCGGAGCACCCATCACCAACGTAGGCCTCCCGTGGGGCCCTCTCCCCCTCCACCCCTAACCCTGGACTCAGAGCAAAGTCCACAATACCCACCCTCACGTCAGAACCCAACTACCAAGTGCCAGGGCCGTGGCATTTGGGGAGCAGGACTGAGCAGGCTGCAGAGAGGAGGTACCCCAATTCTAATATTTAGCTGAGGCTTTATTTTGTGGCCTGGATCCTCAGCCTGTGTGAGGTGGGAAGAAGACCCACCTGTGAGGTGGGTGGAAGACCCAGCTTGGGTCCAGGGCATAGAGACAGCAGCCAGGGTCAGGGTGCAGGAATAGCAATGAGAGGAGGGGCCACATGAAGAGAGGGGCCCCAGAGCTGCCCTCCCGCCCCCACAGTATGACAAGCTCACCCGGATGGTGAAGGAGTTCCAGCCCTACCTGGACCTCTGGACCACAGCCTCTGACTGGCTGCGCTGGTCCGAGAGCTGGATGAACGACCCGCTCTCGGCCATCGACGCGGAGCAGCTGGAAAAGAACGTGGTGGAGTCCTTCAAGACCATGCACAAGTGCGTGAAGCAGTTCAAGGACATCCCAGGTAGGCGCCCTTGCCGGCACAGCTCCTGTCACCCTGCCTGAGCCAGCTGGTTCTCACGGCTGCCCACCCTGCCCTCAGCCTGCCAGGAGGTGGCCTTGGACATCCGGGCCCGCATCGAGGAGTTCAAGCCCTACATCCCACTGATCCAGGGGCTGCGGAACCCCGGCATGCGGAACCGACACTGGGAGCTGCTGTCCAATGAGATCAATATCAACGTCAGGCCCAAGGCCAACCTGACCTTCGCCCGCTGCCTCGAAATGAACCTGCAGGACCACATTGAGAGCATCAGCAAGGTGGCCGAAGTGGCCGGCAAGGAATACGCCATTGAGCAGGTGAGCGGCCCTCAGCAAGCCTGTCCTGTCCCACCCAGGCAGGCCCTGCCACGCTGCTCTCCAGCCCTTACAATGATGGCACTGTATGAGGCAAGGGCAGTAATGGGCCTGCGGGGAGCTCTGGGGAGTTGTACTGCCAACCTAAAGGCATGTGGTTCAAATCCACCAGCTGCTCTGAGGGAAAGCTGGGTCATCTCCTCTCATGTGGATTATTGCCTCTAAAAACCCAGTAGAGGGTCGTTTGTGAGTCAATTTTGATTCCATAGCAGACAACAACCACACATGCTATTAAGTGAATGATGTCCATAAAGTGCTTGATGCAGTGTCCACCATCACTGCTGGGCCTCAGTTTTCTTCTCCCCAGTAGCCACAGGAAGGAACCAATGAATAGAATAGCTTTTTCCTGACTTAACTGATAAGCAAATTAAGGCTCAGATTCGGCAACTGGCCAAGTGTTCGCAGTCTGTGAGCCCAGTCATACTCTTCTTTTTCTAATTAATATTTTTATCATTCATATACATTGCGTTTCATGCATCTACATTTTGTTTTATACAATCTTTTCTTTATGTTATATTTTGTTTGTGTATATAGTGAGCTTCTTACCCCCTTAGAATTATTTTACTAATCACTACATTCCTGAAAGCATGTAAGCCAGCTACCACATGCCTCATGTCCCACTATCCCCCTTTTATATAAGCCAGTTTCTGATTTGCCCATCCCTATACAAACCAGCCAGGAAATTAAAAGACAAATTGCATTGGGAAAATCTACTGTCAGGAACCTCTCCAGAGTACTGAAGAGCAATGATACCAGTCTGGAGACTAAGGTGTGGCTGATCCAGGCCATAGTCTTTGCAGTTACTTGCTATTCATCAGAAAGCTGGACAGTGACTAAGGATGATAGAAGGAGAATTAATGCCTTTGAACTGTGGTGCTGGAGAACAGTACTGAATATACCATAGACTGCTAGGAGAACAAATAGGTTTGTCCTAGAGAGGGTGAGACCAGGTTGCTCCATGGAGGCAAGGATTCTGAGGGATCATCTTACATATTTTGGACATGTTGCAAGGAGGGGCCAGTCCTTGGAGAGGGACATCATGTTTGGGAGGGTAGAGGAACAATGCAAAAGGGGAAGGGAAGACCCTTGATGAGATGGATTGATTCAGTCACTGGGGTGGTGGGAGTAGGTGTTTCAGAGACAATAAGGTTGGCACAGGACAGAGTAGGGTTTAGGTCACTATGAGTCACAGGTGACTCGAGGGCACATAAACACAACAACATCAAGCCAGTACTTGGAGGAAACAAACATGTCCCTTTTGCTGAACAGGTCATCTTGGAGACTTTGAGCATCTGTATCCATCGTTCATGCTCTTAACCAGTGTCTCGGCTCTCTCCTGGCAGGCATGCACATGTATGTCGTGTGATTGCAGCATGTGTATGAGCGAGTCGCCCCTGAATTCACACGAGAGTTCGCAGAGAACTTGTAGACCAGACAATCTCAGAGTCACTGCAGAGGGACCCATGCGAAAGTCATGGCCAGGCCTCTTCTCCCCGGCCCAGTGTTGTTCAGACATCGGGATGGCCAGACATAGCCTTGTACCACAGTCCTGACTCACCTCCCGCCACCACCTCACCACAGGCTCTGGACAAGATGGAGAAGGAGTGGTCAGTCATCCAGTTCAACGTGCTACCCTACAAGGAGACAGGGACCTACATCCTTAAGAGTCCAGACGAGGCCTCGCAGCTGCTCGATGACCACATCGTCATGACCCAGAGCATGTCCTTCTCACCCTATAAGAAGCCCTTTGAGCAGCGCATTAACTCCTGGGAGAACAAGCTGAAGCTGACCCAGGTGGGCACATCTTACCGTCGTTCTCATGCCCTGTCTCCAGGCCCCCTAACTGAGGAGCCCCGTGCTATGTGTGTGAGGGGCTTGATGGGGTTTCACGTGTTAGATGACTGGCCCACACTTGCACAGAGCCCAGCTCTCTAACGAACTCCTCCATCCAGAAGGCAGCAACTGGGATGGGTCTCTCCGTACTCTCAGCTACTAGAGGAAGCAATTAAACGTGAGAGTGGAGGACACATTTGGTCTAAAGATGAGGCTGAGGTGCCACTACACCCCAAAGGGCTGTTGTCTGGGCTTACGGTCACCAGGAACCCCTGGCCCTGCAGCTTTGTGGACTGGTCACCACATGGCTCCAAAGCTCCTCAGTGGCTTCTGATCCTGCCCTGAGCCTCCCGCAGCCGTTGCATTTAGAGCCACCTGAGTATGGGACACTCGGACGGCTCCTGTCCAGGGTTCTGAAGGCCAGAGGTAAGGGCTTATCACAGAGTCCTGAGAACAATCCTAGGGCCAGGCCTGTAGGCGTGACTCCAACAACTGCTTCTGCAGGGCTTCTTGGGAGCTGTTCAGAAGCTCCCAGCGATGACTGGAAGCCGATGACTGGGTTTATCTGTGGACCATCTTGAGTGGTCACCGCCGTCACTGAGCCTCCCTCCTTTGCTCACTCTCTTCCTGCTGCCTGAAATTCTATCCCTGCCTTCCATCTCCTCCCAGGAGTTCATCACACGGCCAGGGACCTTGGTGGTTCAGCACTGGCCTGTTAGTGGACTCTGGGCTCCTTAAGAACCAGAACTACACCCTTCTTCCTTTTGTTTCCCCTGATGCCTACACAAGCCCAGCATAGAGCACATACCTATCATGAGAAAGACAATGAATGAGGCTGCATGAATAGAAGAAAACAAAAGACAGATTCCAAAAAGGGGTTTGGAGGGAGAGGAGGCAGTGAAACGGACCATGTTTAGACCAATGTTTCAGAATCTGTTTTAGAAATCTCAAGCCCAAATCCCATTAAACCCTGGGGAGACCCAGCGTGATGGAAAGGAGAAGCTTTGGTCTTCCACATAAAGGACTTTTTCCTGTTCCTCCCAACTTTGCTGCTGAAACCTTGGGTGTAATTCATTATAGAAGAGCAATTGCTCTGCTAAAGGCTTGAGCAGTTTTGGGGAGGGCTTGGGCTTTCTCTTAAAGGGCAGCTATCTCTGCATCCTGTTTGTTCCCTGGAACACTGACAGCGCCATCTAGAAGTTTCTCTGAAGACCAGCATGCTGAGAGGATGATGATTCCAATTTCCTCCCTGCCTCACCCCTGCCCAGGAGGTGCTAGAGGAGTGGCTGAACTGTCAGCGCTCCTGGCTCTACCTGGAGCCCATCTTCAGCTCCGAGGACATCAACCGGCAGCTGCCCATGGAGAGCAAGCGCTACCAGACCATGGAGCGCATCTGGAGGAAGATCATGAAGAACGCCTACGAGAACCGGGAGGCAAGCTCTCAGGGGAGGGAGAGGGCAGCCCGGACCACCGAGGACCCCCGGCACCTTGTGACCAGCAGCCCTGGTCTCTTCCCTCCTGTAACAAGAAAGACTCAAGGTCTGAAGCTCTGGTCTCAGCCAGTGTCTTTGTGCTTGAGCTCCCTACTACCCGGAAGTTGATGTTTTTCTCTGGGAAATGTTTCAGCCCATGTTAGCACTTGATTTATTTACTTATGTTTAAAATACTCTCCTTTAAGTTTTCTCTCGAAATCACCAGCAAGAAAATCCTGAGATTTTCACATTAAAAAAACCCAAGCAAACCACAAAAGAGTGAATTACATCTCTTCAAACTGGGTGGTGTCTTAAATCCATGGTAGCACCTTAAAGGCACTGACAAGTCCTGCAGCAAAGCAAACTGCTTGGCTTTGTTGAACACCTGACTTTTTTTTTGAGCACAGAATCTTGTCCATAATATCAGTTGAGGCTGATGGGCACAATTTCAGGCTGAAAGTCCACTTCTTTCCCCCTCCTTCCTGGGCCCTCCACTGAGGATATCTGGTCAGCGGGACTGCTCTTTGCTGCCTCACGCCATGGACTGCACTCATTTCCAGTTTCTCCCCCTGGCCCGGACCTTACAGGTGATTAATGTGTGTGCTGACCAGAGGCTGCTAGAGAGCCTTCGGGATTGCAACAAGCTGCTGGACATGGTGCAGAAGGGCCTCAGCGAGTACCTGGAGACCAAGCGCAGATCCTTCCCCAGGTGGGCACCACCTGGCCCAGGCCTGCTCTGTCTGTATTTGCCCATGAAACTGGAGTACCCAGTGCCCCATCTCACCTGAGGTGGAAAGGTATTGATGGCTCTGGGGCTTCAGGAGTCTTCCTGCTCAGCTCTCTCACCCTTGTTCCCTGGCAGATTCTACTTCCTGTCAGATGATGAACTCCTGGAAATTTTGTCCCAGACGAAAGACCCCACGGCCGTGCAGCCCCATCTGCGAAAGTGTTTCGAGAACATTGCCCGGGTGGGTAGCTGGGGCTGGGGACTCTGGGGTACCTCCTATGGAAGAAACAGCTCTTTTGTGCCTCATAAGCCCATGGAGGGGAAATGAGGTGGCAAGTGAAATAACTGCCCTTTAAAGAAATACCTGATGCTGTGAGAGGAAGATTAGCTGCCAGGGGAAGCCCAGAGGTTAGGCCTGGGCAGCCTTGCCCCTTACTCACTGAAGGAAGCCCTAAACTCAACACTCTGAGGTGCTGGCTGGGTCGGAACTCCTGAGACCAGAAGGATCCAGACCCTTCTCCTTTCCCCTTCATGTACAGAGAAGCTACCTACACAGGTGTGGAGGGAGGATGTGGAGGGGCACCCAAGGTTGCCTCAGCTTCCTTCCTCAAGTGCCTGTTTCAGGCCAGGCCACAGCTAGGACAAGGCAGACCCATCCTGTGTATGCAGTCAGGGAACTGAGCCAAGAGGGATACTCATAGGGGACAGCCACCTTTTCTCCTGCAGCTGGAGGACATATGAGGAGGCCTTGAGGGCATGGTGGGCAGAGCCTCTGGGCCCTCCTGGAGTGACTTCCCTTGCTCCTCCTGCCCACAGCTGCTGTTCCAGGAGGACCTGGAGATCACACACATGTACTCGGCCGAGGGTGAAGAGGTTAGGCTGTCCACATCTGTCTACCCTACCAGCAATGTGGAGGACTGGCTGCTGGAGGTGGAGCACAGCATGAAGGCCAGCGTGAGGGACTTCATTGAGAGGGCCATCAAGGCCTACCCCACGGTGAGCCACCTCCTGATCTGAGAACAGTCTTTCCAGCAGGCTCTCCCAAAGCCCCCAGCTGACCAACTTGCCTCAACCTCAGAGTGCAGCCTTGGCTGCTCCTACTGTCAATCAGCAGACCTCCTGAAGCAGAACATTCTTGAAGTTCCCTCATGGAGAAATCTGAGACACTCTCTCTGCACATGCTCCAGAAAGTGAGACCTGGTTGTAAAAAATCACCATAATGGTTGGCTTTGTGTTTCAAGCATGTGCTGTGTGCCAAGCCTGGGCTGGACTTTTGCTGGAACTGCCTTTTAACTCACAACAGCAGCAGGGGTAGGGCTAAGCTTTATTCTACAGAAGAGTCCAGAGACATTTTCAGCCCATTGGGACGTGCCTCCAGAGACATTTTCAGCCCATTGGGACGTGCCTTGGAGGTGGCAGCACCTGGATTCGAACCAGGACTACACATTTCCCAGTCCTGGGTCCCCACTATATGCCCTGAGGTCTCCTTTGCTGTGGAAGTGGTGGTTCTGCCCCTGAGAGGCCTAAGTGTAATGACCTGTCTGCTTTTGAATGACAGTGGTATTAATGAGTAGAGCGTAGAGGGTTTGAAGGTTACTTTCGAGTGACAGTGGAATTAATGAGTTGAGCTTAGAGAGTCTGAAGGTCTGAAGCTCAGATAGATAGTGCTCAAGAGGGAGGAAAGGGCAGAAAGGGCACAAACGGCCGGAGCCGGCAGCTGCCTGGGTCAGCCCTGCCCCATCACCTTCCCAGATGCTTAGGAGCGTGTGGGTTCTGAGCTGGCCTGGCCAAGTGACCATCGCTGGGTGCCAGACCTACTGGACCATGGAGGTGGCAGAGGCTCTGGAGACCGGTGACCTCAGCAGTCGTCTCTTTCCCAAGCTTGCCGAGCAGGTGGGCATCAAGTGGCCATTGTCTGCTTCCTCCACACATGTACCTGTGGCCCCTGGGACAGATAAGTCCCTCCAGGAACTTTTAGAAGAGACCTGGAGTTGAGCCCAAAGAGCAGAAAGTCAGACACCCCTAAATGTGTGTCTCATAGCCAACCAGCAGCAGAGGGTACCAGGGCACCTGGGCAGGGTCTGGGGGTTGGTGGGTGCCTCTCTCCCCACAGTCAGTGAGGGAGTCACATCCTGGGAGGGCTCTTGCTCCAAGCACCACCTCCTCACCACATTCTTCTCTTCAGCTCCAAACCCAAGTGCTACACCACCTGGCCTTCAAAGGCTCAGGTGGAATCACACTTGACCAGGATGCAGGTGTCACGCGAGTGCTTCACTTTTACTTCCTGGTCCATCCCTCACGTGTTCATAAACCCTGCCTACCCTCCCCCTGCCTGGTTCTCCCTCTTCTCCCCTCCCAGACCTACAGACTGGGATCCCCCAGGAAAGAAGGCTGTTCATGGTGGGTGCCCCCCACTCTGTGAAAGGGAGGGGTACCTAGCTGTGGCTTGACTCCCCCAGCCCCTCACAGCGTTCCCCTCCACTCCTGCCCCACGACTACAGCTCAGTGACCTGGTTGCCCTGGTTCGGGGGAAGCTGTCCCACATGCAACGTGCTGTGTTGTCTGCGCTCATAGTCATTGAGGTCCATGCCAAGGATGTGGTGAGCAAGCTGATAGCCGAGGAGGTGGTCAGCGTGAACGACTTTGAGTGGATCTCACAGTTGAGGTGAGGCTATGGCTCGGACCAGTCATCCTGGTGCCGGAGACCTGCCAGGATGGGCCAGGCAGGGTGGGCAGTCAGGGACAACAGGCTGCCCTTAAGATTCTGGGACAAACGGTTAGGCCCTCAGTCCTCAAAAGAGCCTCCTCTCCTGACCCTACGCCCTGCCCAGTGGCCCATGATTCCTGTGGTCCAGGAGCCCATCTCTTCAATGCAGGTACTACTGGACAAATGGTGACCTGTACATCCGTGCCGTGAATGCTGAGTTCATCTACGGCTATGAGTACCTGGGCAACAGTGGGCGGCTGGTGATCACGCCCCTCACCGACAGGTGAGGCTCCTTTAGAAGGTGAACAACGTTCTGAAGTCATTGACCATTTTCTGTCACTGCCTGTATTTGAAAGCTGCTGGATTTCTAATTGAGTTTGGAGTAAGGGAAGTGAAGCATGGCTGTGGGTCGGCCATCCTGGGGCTCACGGGAGGGGGTGAGCACTGTGGGTTGGGACAGTGGAAGGCAGCCAACGCTCCACCCCTAACCTGTGACAGCCAGGGCTGGGTACACCAGCGCCCCAGGGAAGAGGAACTTGTAAAACATTACACAACATGGGTGACCCTGGAGGGCATTATGCTGAGTGAAATATCTCAGTCATAAAAGGACAAATACTGCATAACACCACTGTTATAAAGCAGGACTGACAAGGTTGGGAGGAGAATAGGAAAAGAGTGGATAGATGATGAACATTGCACTAGAACAGACGAAGGAAAGAACTATGTGAAAGGAATATATGATTAAGCATTTACGTTTGACACAGTCCAGAATAAGGTATTTTGCAAAGAAGACTGGGAGAGGAGGAGAGGGAGAGGAGGGAGGAAATTGTGCAACAATGAATGAATGAATGAAAATCTACTTTTCTGTACACTTTGGTTAAAATTTTAATTAAAACAAAACATTTTATTATTTTTTTTTAAAAAAAGAGGCACCTCTTCCTGTGTCTGTGGATGCCCTGAGGGTGGGGAGTGCCTGTGTGTGTGTGTGTGTGGGTGCACGCATGCGGTTTCTGCCCCCCTCCCTTCTCTCTGCAGGTGCTACTTGACCCTGACTGGGGCCCTGCACCTCAAGTTTGGGGGAGCACCAGCAGGCCCGGCTGGCACAGGGAAAACGGAGACCACCAAAGACTTGGGCAAGGCCTTGGCCATTCAGACAGTCGTGTTCAATTGCTCCGACCAGCTGGACTTCATGGCCATGGGCAAATTCTTCAAGGGCTTGGCCAGGTGAGGCTGTGTAGTGTGGGGGGGACAGGGCATGGCAGGCGGGCTGGGCTCTCTCTGGGGAAGGCATTTCCGGGAGGAGCCTTGCAGGACAGTGGGGAGGGGAGATGGGCTGGGAGGAGACAGAGGCTCAGCCCCTGATGGGTGGAGGACTGTGGTTGAGCTGATGGAGATGGATGCTGAGGCTTTACCCCCAAGAGGAACCAGAGGTGACGCTGAGATTCCCAGGGGGCCTTGAACTCTACATTCTCCACCCGACATTCTTGCCTCACTTAGCGCTGGGGCCTGGGCCTGCTTTGATGAGTTCAATCGCATTGATATCGAGGTGCTGTCTGTGGTGGCGCAGCAGATCACCACCATCCAGAAGGCACAGCAACAGCGGGTGAGCCTCGGGTGGGCAGCATCCCCTCCATACTGGGCCACCTCCAGTGCTGTGTCCACCACTCATCACTCCAACTATACCCACAAACCCTCTGCACCGGCCATGCCCATTTTATCTGCTACAATTGCTGAGGTCATCATACGTGCCACTTCAGCCATGCCTACCATGTCCACTGTGTCCTGTTACTTCCTGTGCTTATGGGATGAGAAGCCAGGCACTCGAGTCTGACCTGAGCCCAGCCTTTCTCATCTCACCTGTGAGCACTGGACTGCTCCCTCTCTCCTTCCTTGCAGACCTACCTTAGAGGGCTCTGTAACCAGCCCAGAAGCCCCCCACCTCCTTAATCCAGGCTGGGAGAGGCTCCTAGGTCAAGGTTGGATGGATGAAAGGTCCCTTTCCATACTCTGGTGTCTTTAAGGAAAGTTCCAGGCATTTGTCCTTTCTCCAACCTGGAGATAAGAGCTTGGAGATTGACAGGCACCATCTTTGCTGAGAAGGACCTTGGGTTCTAATGAGGCCCGAGCTTGTTTAAATCTAGGCAGAGTTAATGCAAGGAACTGAAGATGTGGTGATGAGAAGGAGGCTCTGAAAACTCCAGGAGGGACTGAGCTAGGACCTAAGAGGTCGTGTGCGGTCAACTAGACGTGAGATCGTGAACTAGATTTCAGAGAGTTAAGAACACTGGCCCAGCCCATGGTCAGGAATCCGCTTGGGCTGGCTAACTGTGTCCAGGCGAGGAACATGGGCAGAGGGTGAAGAGAGCACCCAGAGGATGATCCAGGGCTGGGTAGCCTCTGCCCCAGGTGAGCCAGCCAGTCCCTACTCCCTGTAGGTGGAGCGCTTCATGTTCGAAGGTGCCGAGATTCCGCTGGTGCCATCCTGTGCAGTGTTTATTACCATGAACCCGGGCTATGCTGGCCGCACTGAGCTGCCCGACAACCTGAAGGCAAGTTCTCAGGGCCCAGAATTCGAAAGTGTGGGAGTGGCACCGGGAGCCACCCAAGCTCTGATCTTAGAGGTGACAGGGGCACAGCCATTATAGCATCAGCAACTATGATTCTCCACAGCACTTCTCCTGCCCAGGGCAGCCAAAGAGGAGAGAAGCTCCAAGTGTAGCCTTGGGGCATGGGAGAGCTTCCCATATTGGTGGGCGTCTGATGGGATCCACCCAGGCTGGGCCTCTTTGAGGAATCCAAGGCAGAAGTCAGGATGAGTTGTCACTGGGACGTCAGTTACATGGGGGTATGTTCAGATCCTCATAGGGCCCTCTACCTGATGGCCACCATTGTCCAGCTCCAAGGGAGCATAAGCCCTTGGTGTGGAATCCAAGCATTAGCTGAGGAGGAGGGACAGGCAATGCTGCCTTCCAAGACCTAGACAGTCCAGAGAGCAAGTGGTGCTTTGAGAACTTGAGGCTGTGCTTCCTGTTCTCATCTGCACCGTGTGTCCAGGCGCTCTTCCGGCCAGTGGCCATGATGGTTCCAGATTACGCCATGATTGCAGAGATCTCCCTCTACTCCTTTGGCTTCAACGAGGCCAACACGCTGGCCAAGAAAATCACCACCACCTTCAAGTTGTCCTCCGAGCAGCTTAGTTCTCAGGTGAGGCCCTGCTGAGCCGGTACTAGGGTCTGCCTCCTGACTCCTGTCTTGGGCTCCAGAATAGAATTCTACCTTCACCTTCTCTTGAGTACCTGCTACAAGACTAGGTGCTTTCCAAGTATTATCTTGTTGACCCCTCACAAAAACCCGGTGCGGTAGGAACCATATGCCCTTCCTCAGCTGAACACACTGAGATACAAAGGGCTAGGAAGACATTAGGAAAAGGGGGGATAGATAATGAGCACTGCCTTGGAACAGTTGAAGGAAGTAACTGTTTAAAAGGAATCTGTATGACAGCAGTCCAGAATAAGAGATGCATTGCAAAGTGGACTGGGGGAGTAGTGGGGAGGAGAGGGAGGAAATTGTGCAACAATGAATGTTTGGTTTGATGTTTTTTGTATTTTGTTTTTAATTTTTTTTCTTTTATTATTTTTGTGTGAGTGTACCGTCAAATCAGATCTGACTGGTACAGGAGGAGATTGTTCCTCCTTCCCCCGCAGAGCATCTGGTGGATTCAAACTGTGCTCCTCTAGGATTGTAGTTGCAGCTCCTTGCCACTAGGCCACCAGAGCTCCCCTAGAAAAATAATTTTAAACCATCAACAAAGCCAGGAGCTTGTTTTTCAGAAGGGTCGATAAAATTGACAAACTTTCGGCAAACTTAACAAAAGAAAAAAGAGAAGACACAAATAAATAGGCAATGATAGAGGTGACATCACAACAGAATCGGAGGAAATTAAATCTATATTATTGGAATATTATGAAAAGCTATACTCTTCTAAAACCAGCATGCACATCTGGCAGTTCTATGCTGATATTCCAATAGTTTTTGGATAATCTTCAGCAGGATCTTGCTTGCATGTAATGTTAGTGATACTGTTCAGTATCTCTGACAGGTCACCTCTTTTTTGAATGGGAATAAAGATATATCTCTTCCAGTCAATTGGCCAGGTACTTGTCTTCCAGATTTCTAGGCACAACCAAGAGGGCATGTCCAGGGCTGCATCTGTTTGCCTGTGCTTTATCTTTCACTAATTCCTTCAGAGCAGTTAGGATTTCTTCATCAAGATTGCCTCTTAATCATATTTTGGTTTATGAAATTCTTCTGTGTATTCTTTTTGGTACAGTTACTGTGTATTCCTTCCATCTTCTTTTGGTGTTTCCTGGATCATTCAATATTCTGCCCATAGCATCCTTAAGTATTGCAAATTGAGGCTTAAACTTGTTCTTCAGCTCCTTAGCTTCAGAAATATTGAGCAAGGTTGTTCCTTCTGATATTCTGACTCCAACTCTTTGCACATTTCATTATAATACTTTGCTTTGTCTTCCTGATCTGCCCTCTGAAATCTTCTGTTCAGCTCCTTAACTTCTTGATTTCTTTCCTTTGCTTTCACTTCTTGACATTCTAAGGCAATATTCAGTCTCTTCTAACATCCATCTTTGTCTTTTCTGCTCTGTCTTTATATTGACCATCTCCATTCTTCCTGGATGATATTCTTGATATCTTCCCAGTTTGACTGGTCTTCATTCATTAGTATTCAAGATTTCAAACCTGTTCCTGATATGGTTTTTAAATTCTGATGGGATATACAGAGTTGGACAATGAGTAAAGATGATAGAAGGAGAGTCCATGCCTTTGAGTGTGGTGCTGGAGAAGAGTGTTGAACCGCCAAGAGAACAAGCAAGTCTGCTCTGGTGAGAGTGATACAAAGCTGCTCCTTGGAGGCAAGGACTGTGAAGCTCTGTCGCACATACTTTGCCAGGAGAGACCAGTCCTTGGAGAAGGACATCGTGCTTGGAAGGTTGGAGGGACAACACAGGAGAGGAAGACCCTGGATGAGATGGATTGACTCAGTGCTGGGTAAATGGGATTAGATGCATCAGAGATGATGAGATTGGCTCAAGATAAAGCAGTATTTGGAATTATTGTACATAGGGTTGCTATGAGTCACAGGTGAATCAACAGCCTGTAACAACATCAGGGTATGATGGAATACTACAACAGCCCTCAGGAACAACGATTTTAAAAATTACTATATAACTTAAGTGAGACTGAAGGGCATTATGCTGAGTGAGGTAACTCAGTCTCATAAGGACAAATACTGCATACGACCATTATTGTAATAGCAGGTCAAATAGCAAAACACGTATGGAAATCCAAGCGGGGAAGGGATGGGAAAAGGGGTGAGGGTGGGCAGGGGGAGTCATAGGATCACACGATTTTGTAGGCAGTGGGGAATAAAGAAAAAGAGAAAGATCCAGCGGGGATTTGCAAAGACAGAGTCATGATGGGCATAGTTCAATGATGATTGATTTTATAATATATAGTGAATGAGAATGATTGTATGAAAGACAATGTGAGTGAAGGATAGTGTCAAACACAATATATACGGATGTTGTATGCAAATCAATGTAAGAAATATTGAAAGAAAGAAAAAATATAGTGTAGGGTAGACAGAGGGATTATTTATTGTCTAGTGAAGGAGTGAAGATTAGCTTAAAATTCTACTCAGAAGAGGATAAGAAGAATGTTAACATAGATTTGATTAAACCTCAAATAAGGAAGAGATTCTTCATGCAAGGGATGCTGGATCTACAATCTGAAGGGTAAATAGAATAAGTAGTAAAGTGAGTCGGGAGGAAGAGTATTTCCAGAGTAGGTGCCAGTTTGTGCAAAGGCCGTGTGGCTTGGCAGTATATGATGCTTTTAAGGAACTAAGAGAAAGTCTGTGAGAGTTGCACACACAGAATGAGTGGGATCCTCTCAAAGAATGAAAGGATTGTAGCAGCCTTTTTAAAAAAAATTAGTTTTAATTTAATCTTTCATATATATATATA